TCATGACGAGCCGCAGGGTTTAATTTGGTTTTGTATGTGTATGTTTTTTTTTACTCTTAAAGCCGTGATTCCCATTCACTTCCATTATAAGACTGACAGACTGCAACGGTTTGAGTTAAAAATCTCAGTTTGTGTTCTACTGAAGAAACAGTCACCTACATCTTGGATGCTCTGGGGGTAAGCAGATAAACATCAAATTTTCATTTTTGGGTGAACTATTCCTTTAACGTACTCGTACAGCTTTTCGTCTTCATGAGTCTCTCCGCAAGTCTGCCAGCGCGCTGCGGGAGGAGAATACTGATTAGCACAGCTTTACTGGGAAAGTGAGCAAGTAACCTTAAAATAATTCATACAAGATGATGAATAAAAGTGTATACATGTGTTTTAACGTGTACCTGGAATGTAAAGTACCCCTAGGACTTTCATCTGCACGACGAGTCTCTCCGTCAGTCAGCCAGCGCCGCTGCGGGAGGAAAACTCGGAAACTGAGCGCTCCTTAGATATTCTTACGGAAACTTAAACGTAGCTTTATATATTGCAAATAACATCAGAATAAAACATATAAAGCGATTAAAAAGCCAAAAATGAAAATTAACCAACCATACTCTAGTGTTTTTTCATCTTCATGACGAGTCTGTCACAGAGCCATTGCCGAGGAGGTGTGTGGTTGTTTTTCGCGGTCATTTAGTACTACTGTATTAAGATTTACAGTAGGCTAATATTTTCTTGTCCCAGAATGCATTGAAAATCTACAATAACCTACTGTACAAAGCATATACAGTAAGAAACCTGAGAATACAAAAAACAACAAAAATGTCTTATAGTGTGCCGTTTGCTAGCTCTGACTACTAATATGCTCTCTGACCATCCAATCAAAGGACGTGAAAATGCCAACGTTATTGTACGCCTGCTAGATGGCCACGGTGTCGCCCACTCGAAATCTGATTGGTTAAAGCAACGGTTTCATTGCCATTTATTTTAAGCTACAGGCGCTCGCACTGTTGATTCAGATATAAAAATACACTACTGGAAGCAGCGCAACCAAGAGAAAAGCTATGAAATGAAGATAATAGATTATTGCGAATAATTTAATACACATTCATGGAAAAAATATATTAAACTTAAGTCAGTGATTCTGATAGTGTTTAGGCCAGCAGAGAAGGCCTTGCTGGCCCTGACGGCCCACCACTGATAACAATATATTCAGACAATTCAATAACTATATATACTCTGATATTGCAGATTTGATATTGCCATTTAGGGTGCAAAAAAATCAAAATATTGAGAAAATTGCCTTTAAAGTTGTCCAAATAAAGTTCTTAGCAATGCATATTACTAATCAAAAATTAAGTTTTGTTATATTTACAGTAGGAAATTTACAAAATATCTTTATGGAACATGATCTTTACTTAATGTCCTAATGATTTTTGGCATAAAAGAAAAATCAATAATTTTGACCCATACAATGTATTTTTGGCTATTGCTACAAATATACCCCAGCGACTTAAGACTGCTTTTGTGCTCCAGGGTCACATATTCAATATTTTAAACTTCAGATTTATAACTATATTCACTCTCATATTGCAGATGTTATATAATTATTTGGTATATTAATAGGCCAATATTTGGTGTCAGCAACCCTGATGAATTAAATATATTGAATAAAATGTAATACATTTAATGAAATGTAAATCCTGACAATAATATAACATAATAATCTCAATACAAGTATAAATCTTAAATATGCAACTATAAACAAAGATAAATAATTATAAAATATAAATATTTATAAATCTGAATATAAAAGAAAATCTGATTTATAATTATATACACTCAGATATAGGATATTTTATATAATCATTTAGTATAATATACTAATAAGAAAATATTTAGTGTCAGCATCCCTGCTGAATTAAATAAATAAAGGTAATAAATGTAATACATTTAATGTAATTCAAAAAAATGTGATTAAAATTAAATTTAATTACATCTGCCCGTGCCAAATATTGGCCTATTAATTGGCCCGGCTGATATATCGGTACAAACACCCACAAACGCATACTGACCCTGCAGACAAAACACTCAGGGTGCCAAAGAGCGTTAAGGGCCGAAATATAGTTCTCCAAGATGGCACGAGCACAGCCGCCACATTTGGGGGCAAACATGTCAAAGTAGTCCTTCCTACAGTACGCCTTTCCCTCCTTCTCATGAAACCCTGCAGGAAATTGACAGAGAGAGAAAAAAAAAAGGTTGCCAAAGGCTTAAAACCATTTTAAAGAAAAAAAAGCTGGTAGAAAAAGAAAAGAGAAGAAAAGAGGTTGAGAGGAGTGGAAGCTGCTTACCCTCAGGCCCAAAGAATGACCCGCACTGGGCACAAAAGAAATGCTCCGGATGCCAAGTCCTGTCTAATGCGGTCACCACTCTCTGCAGGAGGAAGTAAAAGCAATGCATTGCAATGAAATTGTGGTGAAACAAGAACAGAAACAGAAGGCACAATTTGATTTGAAAGAATTTATGCAAAATTAAGACAAGAAAAACTAAGAATAAGACAATTATAAATAATTATTGGCAATGTGTAATAATTGGCAAAGTGCTCATTACCCATTCCAGAGGTCATGCACCAACCTATATAAACAAAAATGTGAATCACTTGTGTTTTAGTAATATAAACGGCTCCAATCCTAACTACATGCAATGTTATTTAGTTAGCTTTTTGTGTGTATTATTTTGTTTTAATGTGTATCTTTATCTGTTATCATATAAACATCCAGTCATTAAGTGTTAATTCAGTAATTCATGACTGATTCAAACCGATAACTTCTGTGATTATCAATCTTTATAACTGACTCATTAAAAGAATCTTCTCATAAGAATCATTTGTTATTGAATAGACTACACTGGTTGCACTGTATGTTTTTGCATGCAGCCAGCGAATACAAAACCTTATGACTTGTTGTTTATTTATTGCCTTTTTAATTTGATTAATTTTGTTTTCTGTTTATATGTGTACTTTATGTAAAATGTTGTTAATGTGTATCTTTATCTCTGTTATCATATAAACATCCAGTCAGTAAGAGATTCAGATGTTAAATCGGTGACTCGTGACTGATTCAATCACGTAACTCATATGTTCACGAATCTTTTCAACCGACTCATTAAAACGACCTTCTCGTAAGAACCATGTTAGTCAATCAGACTACACTGGTTGATCTGTTTTTGCATGCAGCCATGAATTGTATTGCTTTTGTATTATGTTGTGGTAGACAATTTTTGTAAATGTATCTTGTTTTAAGGATGTTTCGAAAAGAGCCTTAAAGGCAGGGTATGTGATTTTTCAAAAACACTTTAGAAAACTGATTCGGGCCGAATCGCAAAACAAACTTGTAGCCAATCAGCAATAAGGGGCGTGTCTACTCGTGATGTGGAGGAGAGCGCGTTCAGTGCATGGGACGGACATTAGCCGAGCCGAGCGACAGAAGGATAGAGATGGCGGATAAAAAACAAGAGGAAAACGTCTGCGGAACGATAAGGCAAGAAGTAGGACCCGTGTAAATATCGGATCAGCTTTCCAGCGCTGGAGAGAACTTAAGGAGCGGAGGCCTGCGATCGGACGCCGAGGTTGCTATGTTTCTTCTCAGTAGGTGAGTAACACCGTGTCTACAACAGCTAAAGTCTGCCTACACTGGACTCAAACGACCGTTGAAAACCATTTGAAATTTGTGTCAGCACGTCATAATAGAACCCGGCAGCAGTTTTCTGTCGGGGATTTGTTGCGCCGCGCCGCTCACGTCCGTAGACACGGTGTAACATTGGTTTTGCTTTGTTTCACAGAACTAATCGTTGCCTGGGTTGCGTACGTATATGTGGGGCGGAGCTATCAAAATAGGGGCAAGACCCTTTTGGGGTAGGGGCGTGTTTGTTTTGGTGATTTCAAATATCAACATTGGCTACCAGAAATCGCTTACTCTGCCTTTAAAAGAGTCTTATAATCATTTCTTTTATGCATTTACATTTATGTTGTCAGCAGACTCTCTATCTACATGCATGTGTTGAGTTCTACTGCAAACCATACTGGACTTATTTAGACTGTCTTTAAGTGACTGTTTATGTTTACAGGAAATCTGAAACCAAAGGTAAAGTGTGGCCGGCTATAGTAAGCACCTTCACGACTGGGTGGTGACACATGAGACACTAACACACATGTCCGTGAATGCCCCGTCTGTGACTGCTTAAGGTGGTGATATGAAGCAGAACCCTTACGTCCAGAATGGGTCCGTTGCAGTAGTAACAGCGTGGAGAGAAGAGGCTGTGGTAGTCCTTTTCACAGTATGGCTGGCCGTCTCGCTCAAAGAAGTTTTTGGAGCCAATTTCCTCCTGACAGTGAGTACACACGAAATGCTCCGGATGCCACGTCCGACCCATTGCTGTCACCACCTGAACGAGTCAAAGAAAACGAGGAGGGAAGTGTACCATTTCACTTTAATAAGTAAACAACAAAAGACATAACTGAATATCAGCAGCTCATAAACTTAATTAAGCCTGGTTTCACAGTTAGGGCTTAGACTAAGCCAGGTTTAGGCCATAGTTCAATTAGGACATTTAAGTATATTTTATACATATAAAAAAAACATTACTGGTGTGCATCTTGAGACAAAACAATGGCACTGATATTTTTTAAAATATGTCAGTGCAAGTTTCTTTCAACTGAAACAGCTCAGACATGCATTTTAGTCTGGGACTAGGCTTAAGCCTTGTCTGTGAAACCGGGGGTAAGATTACAACATCTGGAAAAATGCATATTCACACTCTATCGGTTAAAAGTTTGGAATAATTATGATCTTTTAAAATGTTTTTGAATGAAGTCTCTTATTCATGAAGGCTGCATTTATTTGATCAAATATACAGTAAAAACAGTAATATTATGAAATATTATTAAAATTTAAAATAGTTAAATGTTAAATTTTTAAAATGTACCGTATTGTCCCGAATATAAGACGATATTTTTTTCTTGGAAATACATCTGAAAAAACGCGGTTGTCTTATATTCAGGGTCTAGACTTTGACATGTCAATAATACACCCACAACACTAGGTGGCGCCAAATACGCATAAAACGAGTGTGCCATGAAATACGTAATGTAATGCGTGTTGTAAATATCGCGAGTAAAAACAAAAGAGAAAGAAAACCTTACAGCTGCATGAGGCATGACTGTCACGTTAGCCTGATGGCACCAAACTCCCTTTGTGATTTTAAAACGTAAGACAGAACCCAGATTTGAAGACTACAGTAAGATTTAACTTCGACTGTTAATAAGATTTTGGTAGGCTACTATTAGATGGATAGCCTAAATGTCCTAATTCAGATGGGCTACCTGTTTTGTTTTTGTTGAGCTGCTTAATATTTTTGTGGATACTATTTAGGGGTGTAAATCGGATGGTTCGTCATGATACGATACAATTCGAGCACGGATTTACTACTGATACACATGCCTTTTCTTTCTCAACTGTTTATGTTAAGACATATTCCTAACCGACTGTGTTTACTAGGATATTCGCCAAAATGAGCATTTTGATGTAATTTTGTCTGTATTTATTCATCCATGCACAAAAAAGCGGAAGAGAGAGCTCAATTTAGTATTCGCGCGGTGTAGACGCTGCTGTCTGTGTGCGTGCGTGCGCGCGCTTCAAATGTGTGCGCAGAAAACTTCTCACACAGCGCTCGACTGTTCCGCAAACAATCCCGAGAGTCTTTTATGCTCACCACACCTTGTGCCTTCCGGCAGTCCTTATATCGAGTCCTGATACGTGAGTTTGAGCGAGAATGCACGCGTTGGCGGTAATGTATAGACGGACATTATGTGAAAATGTGGACAGTGCCAAAATAAGGGTGCCTATTCATACTACAGATCAGGGCCGGGTCTAGGGGGGGGAATGCCCCCCCAGATTCTCCTTGTGCCCCCCCAAAAAAATGTCCAGCCAAAAAAATAAATAAATAAATAAATAGAAAATAAGCATTAAACACTTATTATTTGTACTATCTAAATAAGGATCAGTCACTTTGTTCAAAGGAAAAAATTTACAATTATGTACATAATGACATTTGAACTCATAGCCACAAAATCGTATTACCGTATTGACCCGAATATAAGACTATGTTTTTTTCTTGGAAATACATCTGAAAAAACGCGGTCGTCTTATATTCAGGGTCTAGACTTTGACATGTCAATAATACACCCACAACACTAGGTGGCGCCAAAACCGCATAAAACGAGTGTGCCATGAAATACGTAATGTAATGCGTGTTGTAAAGATCGCGAGTAAAAACAAAAGAAGCAGAAAACCTTACAGCTGCATGAGTCGTGACTGTCACGTTAGCCTGATGGGACCAACTCTACTTCTACTGTTAATAAGATTTTGGTGGGCTACTATTAGATGGATTGCCTAAATGTCCTAATTCAGATGGGCTACCTGTTTTTTTTTATTTTTTTTTTATGGTATATCAAAAAGTGTATATTTTTTAAATGTGATTGTTGGTACATTTTACCAGTTTTTACCATACTTTCAAAACAAAAATTAAAATAGGAAAAATATGCAATATGAAAATAATTGAAGACAAAATGTGTTTTACTGAGAAAAAACAAGATTTGGTTTTTAAAAAGCCTTTTTCCAAAAGGTACATCTGGAAAAAGGGGGGGTCGTCTTATAATCAGGGTCGTCTTATATTCGGGCCAATATGGTAATTTATTCCTGTGTGAGAACAGGGATAAATTTTTTTTCAGGATTCTTTGATGTATAGAAAGAAGAGCATTTTTCACAAAAATATAAAGCAGCACAACTGTTTTTAACACTGATCATAATACGAAAATTTCTTTTAATTTCATTTAATGTTTGTTGAGCAGCAAATCAGCCGATGAGAATGATTTTTGAAGGATCATGTGACACTGGAGTAATGATGCTAAAAATTCAGATTTGCATCAGGAATAAATTACATTTTAAAACATACTCAAATTGAAAACAATTATTTCAAATTGCAATAATATTTCACAATATTACTGCTTTTACAGTGTTTTGATCGAATAATTGCAGCCTTGGTGAGCATAGGAGACTTTCAAATACATATTATATTTAAATTATTATTACTTTCAGATTTATGACAATAAAATAAATTTACTTCTTAATAAAAAAAAAAACTGTCTATACTAACATGCAAAATATACACACTGGTGGCCTTTTGGTTTGTTTTGGAGCACAGCATCCGCTCTAGAGCACAAGATCCTAAAAATCCAAATGCAATATAGACTTGGATAATTTGGGCAGTAAATGAGTTCTTCAAGGGATTTCGTACCTGGCCAGCGATGGGTTTCTTGCAGGCTCCACAAACGCCTTTGGCGACAGTCTGGACACCCAGTCGGTTGAGGTCTGACTGCAGGCTGCCCAACATGTTATCCAGTTTATTCCCCTGCTTTGGAACGCTGGTGGGGGAACTCCTGCCCTGAGCCATAATCTTCAGGAAAAAGGAAAGAATGTTCACATTTTAAAGACTGTTTCATTAAGCAAAGAAAAAGTGGACACAAATCCCTCCCTGCACACACAGACACAAAATAAGCATTTTCTGCTTGGTACACATTACTAATTACTACCAATTAGTCATTCAGCAGATGCATTTATCCAAAGTTTCTTTTGGTAAATTTTTTTTTTACCAGGTTAATCTTGATCAACTTGATCAATGACACAATGTTGATAATTCATGATTAAACACTTGCAGGATTTGACACCACACCACCCACTGATACTCAACTTGTTTTGGAGAAAAGTGAATATAAATGTCCCCTAATAAGCGGTGTAAGATTTGTCCATACAAGCCCCAAAACTGATGATCAACTTTGCACCATGGGAAATCAACTTTATTATTAAAATTCTCTTTTGGGTGAATATTTTCTCAATATGACCATCAGCATGTGAAAAGATAATTTCCCACATCAATAAGCATACAGCATGTACATTAAAAGCTGTTGAATTGCACACCTTTAATTGCATCATTTATTAGTCAATCCATTACAGGATGTTAGTGGTTATTAAACAACTACCACGTGCACTTAAAGGGATAGTTCACCCAAAAACGAAAATGTGATGTTTATCTGCTTACCCCCAGGGCATCCAAGATGTAGGTTACTTTGTTTCTTCAGTAGAACACATACAAAGATTTTTAGCTCAAACCGTTGCAGTCTGTCAGTCTTATAATGGAAGTGAATGGGAATCACGGCTTTGAGAGTAAAAAAAAACATACACAAACAAAACCAAATTAAACCCTGACACTAAAATGACTGACAGACTGCAACGGTTTGAGTTAAAAATCTTCGTTTGTGTTCTACTGAAGAAACAAAGTCACTTACATCCTGGATGCCCTGGGGGTAAGCAGATAAACATCAAATTTTCATTTTTGGGTGAACTATCCCTTTAAAGAAGCACAAGTAGTTCTCAACTTTGCCGAAACACTAAATCACCTATGTGGAATCAATTGTAATTAGCCATAGCAATGCATGTAATGGAAATGTTTACTGCATTTGTCTTATTTCACAGCCTTTAGAGCAAATGGCAATCAACAACCAGAAGAGATGCGTGATCCTGCACAAAGAAGCAATAGCTACTATTCATAAACAGCAAATCTGGTTACATTTTATGCAACATTTGCAATTTTACATATCAGTTCATTTCATATAAATGGTAAGGCTTTTGAATCATGTTTTTTATTAATCAAAGGAAACCAATCTCACACTCTCTGCATAACCTTCCCTAAATACAGCAGGATCAAGTAGGTGTTAAAGACATAATCAGATGACAGACCAAGCAAGGTTATGGGTCAAAAAGGGCTGGTAACCCCATCTCTGTTCTCTCGATTCAAAGAACCGTGACACAGAAGCATTCTTCAGAAAGCAAAAATAGCAACCCACACATCCTCTGTTATTTCTGCATATGAACTCGCACTTAAACAAGCTACTCTTGAAGCATTTCCGCGCAGCCTGACTTATTAAGTCTAGTTCATTCTGCAGCATATTCCTAAACTCACACAATTCTGGCAGATTTGAAAACTTTGGTAACTTTGAAAGCTCTCTGCATTCAAGCATAGATAGTTACAAACTTAGTCTTAAAAGACCTCAGATCTTAAAAGAAGATTGATAGCCAACAGATCAAGTCTTTTCTGTGGTCACTAGCACTTCATTTGCAACAGAATTTGTTCACGTACCAGGAATCTAGAACAAGGGAAAACACAAGGACAGACTGTCTTCATGGGACATGTTGGCACCAGCAAACTATTTAATAAATGCTGAGACACTCCTAGTGTGAGCGCTGTTTGGAGGTCAAACACATAAAAGCATGCGCTCCATATGCAACATGCTAGAAACCATGAAAGAATGGATAAAAACAAGGCAGAGGGTTCCCACACAATCTGACCAATGTTTTTTCAAAATGACCATTCCAGCAGTTTTATTTACTGTATAAACATTTACTATAAATTCACGAAGGAATCATTCAAATTGAATTGTGAACCAGTTCAAGAGATTCATAGAAAAGAATCCACTCTCAGAATGATTCACTATGGCTTGTGAGCAAGTTTTACTCTACATAAACCCAACATACAACCGGTTTCCTTTTATTCTTTTCCATTTAGACTTTTCCAGGCTTAACAAATTCCCTACTAATTCCAAGTTTTCCATGACTGTGGGAACCCTGAAGACATAGATGCAAGCTCTGATCAGAAGCAGATAGACAGAGAGAGCAAGTTCAAGCCTGTACCGGTGGAAAAAGAGGTTCATATTCCGTTTGGCAGCCCACAGATGCTAAAACCTTCGGTGGAGGGGGCGGGGTCACAGGTTTAGGAGGAGGGGACGGAGGAGGGGTGGGGTCTTTAGGTGGAGGTGGAGCTGGAACTGGAGGAGCGGGAGGAGGAGGTGGAGGAGGAGAGGGCTCCCTAGGGGGTGGAGGTGGTGGGGGGAGAGGAGCGGGCATCTGTATCACAGGATCTGGCTTTTTTGGGACAGGATGGGTTAGGACTTTTTTTGGTGGACTGGGCAAGTCTGGAGGAATGATGATCTGATGGACAAAGAAACATGAAACACGTAGCAGGAAGTGAAAGGAGCACAAAATGCATAATAAAGTGCAACAAATCAGGTCCTGGAAGTAAAAATCCCATTCATTTTCTAAACAGGGAAATTTGTTTGAAATTAAATTTTTTTTTTTATATATACGATAACTTTATAAGCCTTTAAACAGACCTGGTGTGAGGTCTGAGGTTGTAAAATCAAAGGTATAGGCTTTTGCTGAAGCCATCAGTTTGCATTATTTCAACTTATTTTTTAAAGAATTGTGTTAAACAGCAGAATTCCTGAAAAACTACACTGTAAAAAATAGGTGTAATTTTAACATATACAGTTTTGGGCCATAAATGTGTTTACAGTTTTTCTGTATTTTTTACAAAATTATTCTGGCAACCACAGCTGCTAAAATTATTTTGTAAAAACTACAGAATTTTTTTTACAGTGTACATTACCCTTGATGCTGTGAAGAAAATTCCATCAATCATAGTCGTAACAAGCAAATTGCGCCAAAAGTGCTTGCATTAAGCACTGCATATCACATAATCAAGCCCAACTTGATAAGCTCTTAAAATACTTAAATATTTGTCTATATATGCATATTTTGCTATAAAACTTAAATATAAATGTTTACATATTTTTTTCCATCAATGAATCCGTTAAGAACACAGTCTTTTTACCCAATTTTCAAATGCTTTCAAATGATTCTCCTCGTCGCTGGTTGGTTTGGTTCATGGCTTATAACACTTACAGGGGTCATATGATGCGATTTCAAGTTTTCCTTTCTCTTTGGAGTGTTACAAGCTGATTGTGCATAGATAAATAAAGAAAAAATCCCTATGGGAAAAATTAATGGTAAAAATACTTCTGGAACCACTAGTGGGCGTTGTTTCACTCTATTTGAAAATGTTTTATAAACGCTAAAAAGCCAGTTTTATGAAACAACCCAATATAAGAAATGTTTTTTAGCGTTTTTAGTTGCTTGCATTTTCTGAGTTCCACCAGTAATCTTACGCTACCTTATCAACAGTTGGTAATACACCACCTTCCTCTCTTAAGCGCTGTGGGTTGGAACAGACAATGACTCCTTCCGTAAGCCAATCAGCTGGCTGCTTTCGTGGCCGCTCAGTGCGACCGATTCCCAGTTTCCCTTGCAGCTCTTCAATGAGTAGATCCTGCGAGTTACTCTTGTTGACAATTAGCGGGCCCATTTTTCGTCGCATGTGGCCGTCACGAAACATCGGATGGACGTTGGACGTTTCCTTTGTGCGTCTGATGACCGATTTAAGCTGCGAAAAGGTAGCATTAATGAAGTGACCACTTTAAACGTTTAGATCATGCAATGCTTTCTATGTGAATGCCATTCAAAAACATCCAGTCCAAGCGCCTTGAGAAAGCAACCTCACACTGCTCCGGTTTGGGCCAATGCAATGCGTAGCTTCAAGCACCCTCTTCCTGACTCACAGTAGAAACATCTCTAACCTTCTACAAACAATCTGAAATGATGCAGGAGCATGTATAAAGACCATGAAGCAAACACAACGTGCCAAAAGCAATGCAAAGCAAAACTGACAAAGCAAACTGTCAATTTTAACCTTAGAGTTGACATCGCAATCAAAATCACTCAATTCAATGCATTTAAACTTCAAATTTGATTCAAAACCCTTTCTTTATTCAAATTTAGAGTGAATAAATTCAATTCAATACAAATTTTTATTTGATTAATAACCATTACATGCAATATATATTTTATATGCACTTCTAATATTTAAATAAATGTTCAGATGGAACAGACATTGCCCAGATATTGTACATTACTTAAACAAATCGCAATTCATTTGATTTTTAGCTTTTTTAATGTTACTGGCAAACAATAGCAATATATGATTTAAAAGTTATATTTCAAGATCAAAGCATATGAATCCGCATGAACAGTTATATCATTCATTAGATTTCATACATCAACTTTACTTTAGCAACTGCAAATAATTTGCATCATGCAAAACCATTGGACTATGGAATCAGTAAATAACCACTTTGCAGAACATCTCCTGCATCAAGTGCCCTGTAGAAATGCAGAAGTAAAGATGGAATGCAATTGCACAATGAAACCCCACTACAGAACTGCAAAGAAACAAGCAAGCCTAGCCTTGTTATCCATTTAGCGCTATACACCTCGATGAGGAAGCGCATCAGGGCATGCATTTGAATCCACAGAATCTTATCCATTGCATGCACCACAGATTCCTAAATTCTCCACCTTTCCAAAAACACATGATGCAAAGCAATGCAAAAGAAAACAAATTAAATGACTATCCCTCCAATTTAGGAGCACCAAGTAGGCATGGGCCGATTACCGGTTTCAAGGTATACCGCGATTTGAAAATGTCTCAGTTTCAAAACCGCTAATATTTTCCGTTATACCGTTCCTGCGGTATGCGCTGCTTTTCATGTCTCCTCAAAGACTGAAAGTGTAGGAATCCCTCAGGTTGAGTGCAGTGTAGAGAGTAACACGACCCTCCTCCTCCTGTTGGTGCGAGCGGTCAGTCACGTGTGTGAAGGATGGCCGAACTTAAGAAGCTTCCCCTGGAACTTACGCGATTGGCAACCGGCCGTTTTTTGTCTTATTGCAAGCAACTCGTCTCTGTTCTGGACTTGCACAAACTGCGTTTTTTCAAAATGTCATTTATATGAAAATATGAAGTCTGTAAACGCCCGTTAACACAGGCCAGAGACGCTGAAGACGGACGCGCAGAGAAAAATACTGTAGCAGGCAGATCACTCACTGTTCATGATGCATGAACTATTGGAAGAAAATCCTCAATATTGATTTGGGGGTTTATATGAATGTGTTTCTGAGGGGAACTGACTGTCTTCAGAAAAGTTTACGTGGTATTTTCTTTTAATCTCGTCTCTGTATAGTTCATATTAAAGCAGTGTTTCAGTGCAGCTGCTTTGTTTACAGCGGTAACCAAGGAAAAGCCGTATCTGGTGTCCCATGAGCACCTCCTGCTATCAGAGAGTGAATCTGCTGTTTGCTTCGTTCAGGCATGTTGTATAATTTCACAAAGCTAGTCAGAACATTCTGTTTTTGCTTCAAATTGGGTTATTATTAAATCAAATTATGTATATGAAATTATATAACTAAATGATATGAAATGATATAAATGATATGTATATGAATTATATAACCAAAATTAAATAACTAATTACAGATTTAGGTTAAATAAAGATGTCAGTCTTTATTTTTCTTCTTTTTAGGAAACAAATCAAAGAAAAAATAAACAAATTATACTGTTCATAGTATTCTGTGTATATGTTGCTTAAATATTGTGTTCAGCGGAAAAAAGGTTAGTTTTTTTTTACCCAGTCATTTAAAAATAAAACAAATAAAACATGTAAAGACAAGACCGTGATACCGTGAAACCGTGATAATTTTGCTTAAGGTTATCATACTGTCAAAATCTCATACCGGCCCATGCATAGTACATATACGCATACGTCTGAAAATAATATATGAAAACCAAAATTATTTTATATGACAAAAACATTATAGCTCAAACTTATATTTGTTTAGTACATTTTTAAATTAATTTAAAAACTAAAATGAATTGTAAAACTGAAAGTAATTTTTTGAATTGTGTTCAGCATGGTGGGCCGCATTTGAATTCGTGACGGGCCACGGGTTGAGAACCACTGGATTAGATTGATAGGACTGACTGATTAGGCTCCTCCTGAACGTATGTTTGGAACTTCATGTTTCATACTGTACAAGTTTGGCACCGCAATGCAGGGTCAACAGCACGAAAGCGGTGCTAATGCTCCGGAGCAGGATTTCATAACCCAGGTAAAAAACGGTGCTAAGAGTAAGAGTCTCCCTCTTACTTAACTACCTCTGAAACAGACACGCACTGCCCATAGAAACGGACTTCTTTCATTAATTCATAGACAAACCTTGCTATGAGTGAACATGTATACCCCAGGACATGGTGTGTATTATTACTGTTGTTGTATATTTGTTTTTGTATTGCATACTGTTTTATGCATGCGTTATGATAGAATTATTAGATAATGTAATCCTATTGGTACCATGCTGATATCAAAATAACCCTTGTTTGGTCCACTACACATTGATGGACATCACCTCCTCATAGCATGCAGTGTATTCTTGTTATGCTAATTCATAGCATGAAGGGACACAAACTGCCAGCACACTCTAATATACAAAACATACCTCTTTTCCACCAAAGCATGAGTGCTGGTTCGGAGCCAGAGCCTAGTTTCAAATCAGTTATTCATCTTTCGACACCCAAAGCACCAGCTCTGAACTAGGAAAAGTGGTTTGTAAGTAGCACCAAAACATTGCTGGTCTAGAAGTAAGAACCGCTTGGTTACCGTGACCAACAAGACGAACAGAAACGTTTGATTGCCATTTCTGAAATAGCATCTAAACACAAACATGTTGGATGCCGATGTAGATTCGCAAAGCCATGAACATCAATAGCAATGCAACGTCCACCACTGTTGATTGTGTGCTTAAACTTGTTCGGGCTGCATCGGCGCTGTGCGAACCGGTCGAGGTGCCGCAGGAGTGATTGGAAAGCATACAACTTTCTTAATGCTTTTGGATCGCTTTCGCGGTGCTTTGGTGTCGTGCACCGATCGGTCTGTATGGCGCGATGCATCTAGGAACAAGTCTGTTGTGTTTGGCGCTTCCGCACTAGCATTACTGGGAAAGATGAGACGTATTCAGAGACGTAAGACCTGGCTCTGTGGTGGCTTTCTAGTCCATGGTAAGGCAAATCTTCCAGTTGAACCAACTCCGAACCGGCAATAGCACTGGCTCTGAACTAGCACCCGGTTCATGCTGGTGGAAAAGGCGTATCAGAATGTTTGGGCTCTTAGTGTG